CGCAGGGATGCAGAGCCACGTCCTCGGATCGAGCCTCTGGTGTTGAATAGTTGTCTGTGGTAGGGTCGTGTATATCCTGTGGACCAATAATCTGTGGGTCGGGGCCTGTAGCCTGTAAAGGCTGCTCTACTGGTAGCTCGGCCCCTGGAGCGACCAGCTCTCCCAGAAAAACGATGTGTTTGGGAGCGGAAAACCCTACGCAGAGAGGAATGGGCTTTATTGAGTGTGGTAAAGACCGAGACATGCTTGGAGAGGCCTCGCATGAAACTGTCACCAAATAGTAGACCATTGGCCTCTGGGGCAAGTTCCTTAGAACTCAAGTCTACCAATTTGGCATCGATTTTATAAAGTGCCGCTTTGCGTCTCTCAATCGAAATAGCCACATTGGCATTGCCCAATAAGCATAGGGCTCTCTGCGCCCATTCTCTGATAATGTGCGGATCAGGTTCGCCGCTAGTGAGTGCCTCATCTGCTAATATAAATATTTGAATTATAGGACCTGAAATGTCCAATAGTTTGTCTTGGGCCGTTTTCAAACCCTGCTCAATACCCTTACGAGGGTCTTTACCAGATTTTGTTAAGTAGGTGACAAGCATGGGGTCGAATTCAGGGGTAGAGGCAACTTTGCCTGGAATATTTGGTCTCAGGCATTCAGCCCTTAATTTATTTCTTATTTCCTTTTCGAGGGGCTTGCGAAGCCACATTTTGCAGAAATTGGAAATATGGTCCGGGGGGGCCCATTCTGCTGAGCGCGGGTGACGAATCACCCTTGGGTCAAAAAAGGGGAGGCCCGAGGCATCCAGGAGGGTGTCTGAGTCAGGCAGTTTAGATGGAGGGGTACCCTTGGAATCCTGACCCGGGAAGGTTTCTTTTACGAACTCTGATGCTGAGGAATCCTGGGGCGTATTCACCATGGGATCCTCATCAGAATAGTTGGGGTCATAATCACTTAAAATATGGCCAGTCAAACGAGAAGTAGAACCCTCTAGAGGGTCTGTTGCATCCTGCGTAATGTATGGTTGGGAATGTTTATAGACCTTTACAGGAGCTTTGCCTGTGCCCGCAGTAGCGCTATTCCCTTTCCATGGTCTCTTGGTCAGAGAGATGGGAGTCCTCAGAATCAGAGGGTTGGCGTGTAGAGGGATGAACCTCTGTAGTAGTTCGTTCATGATAGGCTGCCAAAGCCTTAGGAATGGACTCTGCGCTAGTGGAGTAAAGCCATTCCTTAAGTTCGGCAGAAATCGCAGGGTCTTGGCGGTCTGACATAATGTCTGTCTCAAGATATATGCAAACTATATAAACAAATTATATATATATATATAGATTATAAGTGTTAGGGTTGTCAATTAAAGATGAGGCAACTCAATTAGAATATGTGAGGTGAGGTGGGGGTCACCCACGAGACGTCAAAACAGTGGGGGTCACCCACAAATGCTTGGCACAATAAATAGTAAAGGGCAATTAATGGAGGGTCACCCAATAACACAGGTGGTGAACAATATAGATATTGTATAGTCAATGAGGTGGGGGTCACCCACTAAAAAACACATATAATATGTACAGTGAGAAATGGGGGTCACCCACAAAATAAACCAGGTGGTGTCAGCCACACAGATATTTTACACAGTAGTGTTTTCAGTAGGTGGTGTCAGCCACACAGATATTGTACACAGTTTGTGCTTTAAGTATGTAAGTGGGGTTCGCCCACAACAGGGAAAAAAATGTTCAGCCATACAAAGTTTTTGTAAAGTATGTTAATAGTTCAATGTCAGCCACACTATAAATCATACAAATTAGGGAGAGGGGTTCACCCAGATTGTAGCAGGTTGGTCCTGTGTGGGGCAAAGCCTGTACAAAACAGATAAGAAATAGATCAGTATACTGATCGTTTTAATGAGTTGCGCATATGAAATGAGGTTGAGGCAATAATGGCAGCAACCTACCTTTCACAAGCTAGGCAACAGATGTTCCCACAGGTTTGAAGACTTCTTGCGCGCAGTATTTGCTAGAGGAGCCGCGGGAAGATACACTGCGGTTGAAAATGGCCGCCGCGAGATCGCCGCCTTTGAAAGGGCGGGAAAAAACTGCGTCACAAGGGAGACGCAAGTAGGCGGGAGGAGGGTAAAGGCGGGAAACGGCTGCCGCGGGGTCATGGGAAATAGAGTCCGCGGCTGATGAGAGAACGAGAATGGGCCGCGGCTCTTCCTCTGAGGATAGAGCCGCGGCCAGGTGATTGAAGAGACAGGTTTCGAAACCTCAGTTTATGTTAAACCCGGAGGACGCCAAAAATTGAGCAGTGAGGCTGCAGGCGCATGTTCTATACACCAAAACTGCTTCATTGAGCTAAAGTTGTTCAGATGACTACAGTGTCCCTTTAAGTGATGTAATAACGTCGCAGACCTTTTAATGTGTCATGTTTAACACATGTTTCTGTTCTTATAACAGAATATAAACCAAAGAAAGTCTGGTCTGGACAGTCTTTCATCAGAAATACAATGCTCTATAGGTTGCATACATTAAATCATGCAGTTGTCTATAGGGAAAATAATATATATAACACTGCAAATGCTTTTTAAAACAAATAGTTATTAAAAAAAAATAATTTAAAGAAATGTATATCACATAGTGCATTCAAGCACCCAAACTACACACAAACTGCATTCAAACACTCAACATAAATACACATCTACATTCACACACTTACTCCACACAAAAACATGCTTACATTCAAACACACAGACACTGCTCACAAATACAACCCTGCAAGGATGGACAAATGGTAAATGCCCAGCTGGAAAAGCATCATGGGAATTGTTACTGTTCAGGAGCTACCTTTTGGACACCTTTGCACTACAGGAACCCTAAAAATTCACTGTACCAGGGCCTCTCTGTATTAGTTTCACCGCTGTCCCAACCAATTTGAAAAAGTATACAGTTAAATGAGTAATGAGTATATATGTGAGGAAAAGGTGACTAAATTAAAATAAAGTTTGCTGAGCTGAATTAGATGTTTGCAAGTAACAAAATATAAATAAAATATATAATTAACTTAAACCAGTAAGGCAATGTAATTGGAGTAGACTCACCTGGGAGGCAAGCAGCAAAGAAAGAGGAAGTGGGAGGAGTCTGGTGGCACTATATTGTTCCTGTGATGTGTTATGATTGGTTGAATTTTTCATACAACATTGTTAACTGTTTCTTTGCTGCTGGGAGTTACAGTAAAGAAAGATAAGCAAATATGAAGCCTCCTGTCTTGCCATAAAATTAACTGTCATTTAGGAGTTAAATCACTTTGTTTCTGTTTATGCAGCCCTAGCCACACCTCCCCTGGCTATGATTGACAGAGCCTGCATGAAAAAAAAACTGGTTTCACTTTCAAACAGATGTAATTTACCTTAAATAATTGTATCTCAATCTCTAAATTGAACTTTAATCACATACAGGAGGCTCTTGCAGGGTCTAGCAAGCTATTAACATAGCAGGGGATAAGAAAATATTAATTAAACAGAACCTGCAATAAAGAAAGCGTAAATAGGGCTCTCTTTACAGGAAGTGTTTATGGAAGGCTGTGCAAGTCACATGCAGGGAGGTGTGACTAGGGTTCATAAACAAAGTGATTTAACTCCTAAATGGCAGAGAATTGAGCAGTGAGGCTGCAGGCGCATGTTCTATACACCAAAACTGCTTCATTGAGCTAAAGTTGTTCAGATGACTACAGTGTCCCTTTAAGTGATGTAATAACGTCGCAGACCTTTTAATGTGTCATGTTTAACACATGTTTCTGTTCTTATAACAGAATATAAACCAAAGAAAGTCTGGTCTGGACAGTCTTTCATCAGAAATACAATGCTCTATAGGTTGCATACATTAAATCATGCAGTTGTCTATAGGCAAAATAATATATATAACACTGCAAATGCTTTTTAAAACAAATAGTTATTAAAAAAAAATAATTTAAAGAAATGTATATCACATAGTGCATTCAAGCACCCAAACTACACACAAACTGCATTCAAACACTCAACATAAATACACATCTACATTCACACACTTACTCCACACAAAAACATGCTTACATTCAAACACACAGACACTGCTCACAAATACAACCCTGCAAGGATGGACAAATGGTAAATGCCCAGCTGGAAAAGCATCATGGGAATTGTTACTGTTCAGGAGCTACCTTTTGGACACCTTTGCACTACAGGAACCCTAAAAATTCACTGTACCAGGGCCTCTCTGTATTAGTTTCACCGCTGTCCCAGTTTCACCATTTTCCTACACCCATGCATTAAAGTGATTTTCTAATGCTGTACTCTCTCTCTACTGTCCATATATGCAGTCTACAGTGCTGAATTCCTAGAAAATTAGTAAATACATAGAATAAGGATTGCGAACCCTAGAACTTCTAGATGTCCAGTAGGGGGGTGTGGATAGGAATCATAGACCATTTCTTGCAATATTTAAAATATGCCCATAGTTCCTGCTTCTCTTTAAACATTACTGCAAAAAAATGTTTATTAGACAAAAAGCCTTTATCTATTTATAATGACAACTTCATATTTAAATATATGATTTTTATAATATTAACTTTACTTTAAAAAAGAAAAAGCCGATTTATGGCAGATCTGCTTTTAGCAAGATCTGTTTTTTTTTGGTTGGTTTTTAGTTGATGATGTAATATAAGCACAGGGGCATGTTAACCCAGCTGTGCTCAAGATAGAAATCCTAATGGAAAAACATGGTCTGTTGTGAATTAAATATTATTATAATAGGATTTAAGCTAATTATACTTTGATTGCAATATTATAGGTTTGACATTTTGAAATATTTGGATGATTCATATTCTGCTGAGTTCATCTTCTATTTTTACTATTGGTTGATGTGACGGAGCTCCTTTACTTTGACTGAGTACCTCCACCAGAACAGCTTCCTAGCTGCTACCAGTGGACTCTGGAGCGCTTCAGACCCAGTCGCCAAAGCTTGACTGGGGTCTCTGAGGACCTCTTCCCCCATACCAGGCTGCAGCAATCTTCTTCCAGGCAGATATCATCCCCTCTGCCTTTGCCTCTTCTGTTCCTCTCGCAGGCACATATTGACATCTCTGCTTCCGCTGCCTCCAACTTTACAAAGGCACTTGCGGCTCTCTGGCCTAGCTCTCTCTTAACACGTCCTTGGGATCAGAAGCCAATACTGCAAGCCAAGAGATCCTAAAACTCTATTACTGGAATCTCCAAACAAACCAGACAGTACATACAGTTCATACTCAATCCAATACATATACAAAATCGTATGGGGAATCATACAGGTACTCATAATAATACAATCTAATTACAATTACAAAGGGGTGGAGAAAAGACAAGGACGAACTAGTCTGCCTGCCTGCATAAACCATAATATGCAAATCCACTTTAATATATGTAAATGAACTAGCCTTGCTATTCTGATAATTTCCGAACCAAATACTACACTATAGTGTTCTTTCCATAGTGTTCTTTCCATATCCCTGGACCATCTATCAAGAGATGCACTACAATATTCACAGGCGGGGATTATATAGCACAAACGCAATCAAGAGGAACTTTTCAGCTTCACCTCTTACAAATGCATCTCTTTTTTTATTCTGAGTTGTATTGCTCTACCACCTTTTGTCTTTGAATGAGAAGCATTTGACTGAAACCCATGGGGAAGGAGTCACAAGAAGTTTCGTTTGGCTCTGCATTTTAGGTAAATTTATTCTTTATTTTACAAGATTATTTTAACATTAGTGGTTGGAGAGGGCATGTGAATAATGCCGAATAGGCATTAAAAATTAAGTTAAAACAAAACATTATTTCTGCTGTGTATTTTGTTCCTTATTTGGCATTTTGATATACAATTTGCTAATTGTGTTGGAAATTCACATATAAATCCAGGTATATTTATTGCACTCGAGTTATTCAATGATTCCACATGTTGGTAAAGGTGCTGGGGACCCTTGCAGATTGTTACATATTATACATCTTACAGGTGGGTGAAAAGGGAACTGCTTAACATATTCATTATTAATAAGTGATACAGGGATCTCACTGCATCTCACTTAACTGTATGTGTATCTGCATGTGTGTCAGTGTTTGTATCAATGTGTCTGTGTATCTGCATGTGTGACAGTGTGTGTATATCTATGTATCCAAATGTATGTCAGTGTTTTTGTGTGTATCTGTGTGTCAGTGCTTGTATCTGTGTTTCTGTGTATCTGTATGTGTGTCAGTGTTTGTATCTGTGGGTCTGCTTGTGTGAGTGGCATGGTATATGCGCATACATCTAAGCATTCAAGTGTCAACACTAAATACAAACACACCCCTACATTCACAAACACATATTAATTTTAAAAAAAAACCATGATTACATTCAAACACACAAACACTACTCAGTGCTAAATACATCCCTGCAAAGATGGGCAAATGGTAGCTCCCCAGCTGGCAAAGCATTTTGAGAATTATAGGACAGATTGGGGTCTATATTTTAGCCACCTTTGCAGTTGGGGGAGGAATAAATTCTTGCACCAGTGCCCTCTTTACATTGGTTCTGCCACTGGATCTCAGGTTTTTTTTTTTTTTATTAAAACTTTAATGCCAGGAAACACACAGCTTACTAAAAAAACTTTGCCCCAGTTTTGTACTTTTAGAACACAAAAGTATGTATTTATTTAACCTTTTCTATGTAGGAATAAGAATGTTACTGAAATCCCCTACAAATTGCAATTATAAATAAGAAGCCCATTGTGTGTTAGCATTTTTGTTTAGGAACCCTGTGTGGAAACACTGATCAGATCAGAACAATTAAAGCAGTACTATAATTTCACTGAAATTCCAACCCAGTCAAGAGATATACTGAGACAAAGTAGGGACTTCTAAACTCTGGGCGTGCAGAAGCAGCCATCATCAGTGACAACTACAGGGAACACAGCAAGGTCCCGTGGGATCCTCCATGGACCTCAATGCTGTACTCTCGCGCATGTATGAGAGTACAGCAGTGATGTCAGCCCCTAGAGCTAAAGCGGAGGAAGTAAATCGCACCTTTACCTGCCCCTTGGGCAATGGACCACCACCTGCGATATCACTGCCCCCAGACGTTGACAGTACTGCTTTAACTATCAAATTAGTTATTTACATATTCTCAAGCTACATATACTTACTCAGCCATCATACATTGTACAAGGGCCCTCTTTTTCTGATATAATGATGTCTCTAACTGCAGCTGAGATCGCAATATCCTCATTGCACCATATCATGCATAGCTAAAGTTGCCAGTGCTAAATAAATTTTAAAAAATAACACTTATATTTTTAAGATTCCTGACTTAATAAATGTCAGACTTCAGCCTCAACAGCACCTCTGCCAAAAATATTATATTATTGTCTATTACATGTTAAAAATCTGTGTGAACAATCTATATGGTTTCATTTCACAGAAATGTCTGTGCAGCAGTCATAAACCCACTGCATCATCTTCTATGTTTTAACAGGTGCTAATTTCAGATCTGTCAGAAATTTGCATTAAAAAGATTCATTTAAAAAAAAAAAACTACAACAGAATGCTCAGGGGAAAAGCGTTATTCGGCTGACAACCAACTTGCAATAATCAATATCAGAAGAGCAAAGTTGAGAACAAAAATTCAAATTTAGATGGTTTCATTTTTTTCTTCCTGTTTGTCTTTGGTTCTCTTTTCTTGAGGAACTTTTTCTGTTTGTACAAATTTCATTAAATAAATTTGCTTTACACAAATATTGCCCCCACCATAGCATTAACCCATAAATGTCATGCCTTCTCCATCCCTTGGTCTCTGGAATATGGGTGAATTGGGAAATATCAGGTGGAACCTGGCATAGGCTGTCCCCTATGACCCTCGACAATGCCATTAAGTGAGAGGGGGGGGCGGGGGGGGAAGGGATGTACAGCCAGGGTGCCTTCCCTTCACTTCCCTATCTGATTGTCTGAATATAGGGGCAAACAGTTAAAATAGGGGAAGACCTGAAAAAGTGTCTGTTATGTACCTCATGGACAGTGGGTAAGGAGTTAAAGTGTGATATTTATATAATACAGTTGTTCTCAAAAGTTTGCATACCCTTGGAGAATTGGTAATATATGTACCGTTTTCAAGAAAACATGAGTGCGCAGTCACAACACATTTCTTTTATTTCTCATGGGATTCATACACAACTTACATTATAACAGAATGGCACAATCATAAAGCAAAACATGGCAACAAAGAAAAAAATGAAATTACCCCTGTTCAAAAGTCTGTATACCCTTAGTTCCTAATTCAGTGTATTGCACCCTTTAGCACACTGTCATGTGCAGTATTTTGTAATAGTTGTCTATGAGGCCCCTAATTCTTGTAGGTGGTATAGCTGCTCATTCATCTTGGCAAAATGCCTCCAGGTCATGGAAAGTCTTTGATTGTCTTGCATAAACCGCACGTTTGAGATCTCCCCAGACTGGCTTGATTATATTAAGGTCAGGAGACTGTGATGGTCACTCCAGAACCTTTACCTTTTTCTGCTGTAACCACTGGAGGATCAACTTGGCCTTGTGCTTCACAGTGGGGATGGTATATTCTCTTCACTATAGGCCTTGTTGGCCCCTCTCCAAACATAGCACTTTTAGTTGTGACCATAAATCTCTATTTTGGTATTGTCACTCCAAATCACAGTGTGCCAGAAGCTGTGAGGTGTGTGAAGGTGCTGTCGGGCATACTGTAACTGGGCTTTTTTTGTGGCATTGGCACAGTAAAGGCTTTGTTCTGGCAACTCAACCATAAAGGTCATTTTTTTTTCAAATATCGTCGTATTATGCTCTTTAAAACAACCACACCATCTTTGCCAGAGCAGCCTCTATTTCTCCTCTCTTACCTGTGGGTTTTTCTTTGTATCCCGAACAATTCTTCTGGCAGTTGTGGCTGAAATCTTTTTTCGTCTACCTAACCTTGGCTTGGTATCAAGAGATCCCGAATTTTCCACTTCTTAATAAGTGATTAAACAGTACTAACTGGCATTTTCAAGGATTTGGATGACTTTTTATATCCTTTTCTATTTTTATAAAGTTTCATTACATTGTTTTGAAGGTCTTTTGACAGTTCTTTTGTGCTCCCCGTGTCTCAGTATCTAGCCTGCTCAGTGGATCCATGTGAGAGCTAACAAACTTATTGACTATTTATACACAGACACTAATTGCAATTTCAAAAAAACCATAGGTGTGGGAAATTGACCTTTAATTGCCATTTTAACCTGTGTGTGTCATCTTGTGTGGAGCCAAACAACCATGTGATAATAAATGGCTTCATATGATCGCTACCCTTCAAAAAAAATAAATACATTTTTTTGCATGATTATTATTATTATTATTATAAGTAATAGTATTTCTTTAGAGCCAACTAATTCCGCAGTGCTTTATATGATCAGTCATATTTTCAAAATCAATGCCAAAATTTCGCAATTTCTGCCAGGGTATGCAAAGGTTTGAGCACAACTGTACATACTAGTCATTTAGAAGTAGGGAGATTTTATGATTCAGTTCATTATAGCCAAACACCAGCTACAAGATACAGTTCTGATTGCTTTTCAAATTGTCCCATAGATTCTGATAAGCACTGCACTCAATGTATTTTAGTTTTAATTTAAGAATACTTATTTTTAATTTATTTTAGGAGGGTGGCTAGGGGATTGTGGATTATCGGAGAAGGCACAGGATTATTGGGGGGAGTTGGACAATGGCATTTCCGCCGCCCCCTTTTTTTATAATTAATTAGGACCACCCATGGGTTTGGGGCCAGGGGAGGGGACAATAGATCCTCCCTTTTAGTATATATATTAAAGCCCACACACACCGCCCATCTTTGGCAGCAATGCAGTCGATACACCTCTTATTCCTGTGCTGTAAATTTGTTTGTATGTGGATATTTTTGATGTTCTGAATGCATCTGAACAGCTTTTACAGAAATGATTTTTACAGACCGACCAAATCTTAACTGCATTTTGGTTTAGTAAATCTGTGAATCCATTCAATCCTTTTGAAATTCAGTCATTTTCACTGGATTTTGTCCATTAAGGCAAAATCTGCTGTTTAGGGTATAACCCTGTTAGTTTGAGCAGAAGTCTTATTGTATGTCAAGTGCGAAATTGTTGAAAATATTAAAGCAGATGTGTCACTTTAATATTTTATAAAGATAAATTCAATCCAAATATACCATAA